AGCTAATGCAGATCTCTGCCAACTCATTTTGAGCACTAAGCACGCCTTGCTTCAAAACTCATCTAGTCCTTCCAACACCATGATGACCAGCATCAGAAATGGTTCAGCTGAGCTCCACACAAGTGTTCTATTTCTGCAGCCTCTGGAGAGGAGGATTTCTCTCATTTTTCTTTAATGGTATCTCTCAAATGAGAGATACGAATAGCCGAGTTTGTGAGAGAGCGGTTAAGTGTCTAAAAGAGCCATCCATCTACTGGTGATTTAAAATTATACAAGGTCTGAGACACAGACTGAGATTCTCAAAGCCCAGAGGTACCATGTTTTGCTTGGGCCTACTTCTAGTCAAGTTACTAACAACCTTATAATAAATAGGAAGGAACACAGCATGAAAGGTACTTAGCGTTGTTGTCATTCAAACACCATTTGTCAATATGGTAACTTTCCCATGCGGCTACCCACAGGCAACAACCTAGAACTGTTCAAAAAATATCACTGTGTTTCTTTTACAGCAAAAATATCTTCAGAAAAGAATGCCAGGAGATTAGAGGGTTTGCAAATATGCTTGCACATTAGCTGGTCGTATCTATTCATTTTCCAAAGAAGGGTACAGCTTGTAGCTACAGAGCCACAGTTATTCCGGGTGCAACACTACCGCAGTCGGTGACGTGAGATCAAGCATAAATCCGACTGAGTCTTTTCTGTGTCATGATAATGAATGATGTCAGAAGACGCATGGAGCACAATTACAGTCAGTGGGGGCAACTTGGAAGGAAATTGGGTTTGTCTTTTTCCTTGCACAGATGTCTAGAATTAATCCTAATATTGTAGGAGACAGGCAGGGCAAAATAAACACAATGCAGCCCCAAAGGGACTGGGAATGGTTTGGAATGAACCTTACGCTTGCAGGAGGGCACTCCGGCTGTCCACTGGGTACCGTCCCCTTTCCAAATGCAGGTGATGACGCCCGGTCCCTCCAGCTGGTGCTCGGCAGAGCACTGGAACATTATCACCGTACCCACAGCCGTGCCATTGCCGTAAATGATTTGTAGCGTGCCGAGATGGGGAGGGTAGACATGGCTGCACTGCCCTGCAGAACAAAAACAAAGCCAGACAATGCAGGGCCAGAGCCAAAAGCGAATGTCCACTTAAGTTTTAGTGTGATCAGATTGTAAATCAGTCCAAGTTATGGTCAAAACAAATAACAGACCTCGGGGTGGGCAATGCTGACTGCTCTGCCAAGTACTAGCCTGAGGCCAAACCCACTTTGGTGCCATTCAATAGCTCCATGGCCCTCACCCCCAGCACAAAGTGGTGTTTTACCCATGTTGCAACATTATCTGCTAAGGCTGGTACGTATTAAACTTTTTTTAAACACAAAAAGTCATTCTGTGAGCGGCGTGGTCTCCTACGGATTCCTGTCTTGTTGGACTCCGTGTGTTTAATTAAGTACCCACGTTGGCATCTTCCATGCTGGGAGTATTCATAACACATCTTCCGCCATGCAAACTTTCCAAGATCTAATGGATTGATCACATATTGCAGCATTTCAGTCTACTTGGTAGCATCTTTTCATCATCCTACAGAAACTTGCTATCTTTCAAGAGCACTGCACTTCTGTTAGTCTTGGCTGAAATGAGCCAGTGGGTTCCAAAGACACAGGGAGGGGACAGACATACACATACAGCACAACTACACTCAACTTATCTCCATTTTCAAGTGACAAACTCCGCTTTACAGTATATCATTCATTTGTAGTACATTTTTGTTCATTCAGCTTTTCTCTTTCTATTTCTCTGTTGTTCATATAGCTGTTCTTTGAGTCATGGAGCTGTTCTCCTCTCCACCACGGAGTATCGGCCACTAACTTTATACATTGAGTTTTATTGTCACAACATTCCTTGTTTCACACTCATTTAAACACAAATTTTAATGATCGGTCATTAAGACAACATTATAATATCCAGATATACTTCAAAGATAACAACAATAAATACATTTTCTGGTTTTGTACATGTGCACTGACAGAATCTGGAAACTGTTTATCATAATCTTTTTTTTTTAAATTTACTAAATACCAGCACTGTTTCCGCATCAGAGCCCAGATTCCCTGTCTTTCACTGGATTTCCAAAGGACTTCAGCAGACTCAGAGGCAACTGCGTTGCTGTTGCAAGACCAGAGTTGCAAGCACTATGATAACACCAAAAAAAATTAAAAAGGGGAAAATATGCTTCCCACACTTCCAAGCAAAGAGAGTTTTAATAGCCTCCTTGAGAATATCTTGACAGAATCACATGTTGATAGTAAATCTATTTTATTTTTAATACTAAAACTCCCCTTGGTCATTAATTAATGTTAAGTTCCTGTGATAAAAGCGGAGCAGACAGGCTTACTACCTATCTTTAATTTACGCTTTTTAACACCTCAGCCCCCTGGAAAACAAACCCAAAGAAATCTCAGCAAAACACCAAACAAAAGCCACGGTGACAATTACTGGCCTAATCTACTAAGTAAATATGTACCGAGGACTAACTTTTTAAAAAGTGCCTGTTTTCATTCCATGCAGATTTATTTCTGTTTATTTTGCCACTACTTTCCGTCTCTTACTATGGCATCGATTTGCCTCAACAAGAGCAAGTACCTTCTGGAGGGTCATCTCCCTTCATCTCTTGTCCTTCCCCCCAACATCCCATTACTGGGACACATGGGACGTGTGCATTGGACAACCTTCCTCCTCACTCTGGAGGAGCGTTACAAGTTTCGGCTTTTCTTTTTACTTTAATCACTCAGAGACTTACCATGAAAAACCATTGTCCTAAGCTGCAAAATACCTACTTGTTTGCATTTTACACTTTCAAGGCTATTTTTAGATACCAGATCACATACTTAAGAGTCCACGGCAGTGACACTTCTAGCTGCATGATATGCAGAAAGTAATTCAGAGCCAAATTTGATTCAAAGCACATCTGCTTAGCCACTATAGCAGCCCTTATTAGACACTTTCGGTAGACTTGCCAGTTTACCTGGACTTGTTATTCAGTCTCCGCTCTCCAAAGAATAAGATCATTTGGCACTGGATCCTTTCTTTCAAGACGCATTTCATTTAATCCAGCATTGACCATCGTGAGTAATACGTGCAGCTGTAGCTGACCCTTTCCTGCACTGTTCTCACCCATGATGGCATACGTCAAGTGATTAAAACCTCTGAATGTCAGTCATCATTCCTCAACCGTGGATTTTAAAAATTTTTCTTCACTTGAGCACTACAAAAATTTCTAACAGCCAATGTCCCATGAAACTGTGGCTATTTCCTCGCTTTGGCTGGGGCTGTACCAGCACGATATCATCCCCAGAGGATCATTCCCGTAGGAATGAAATCGGGGCAGGAACCCCAGAGGCTCATCTGAACAGCAGCAAAACTTTTAAAAGCTTCTAAACCCAGCTTTACACAGATGCTGAGCTGAAAGTTCATCAACTGTATTTCATGTACCTGCACTAGGCCAGAGCAGAAATACCATTTCTTCTTCTTCTATGAGTTTTTCAACACAATTTCTTCCCACTAAAGTCAAAACATTAAATCTGTCACTACTTTTTGCTTTTTACAAATGCTTGTATTGAAATGCATAGATGGATTTTTGCCAGTATGGCTTTGTGAATTTCATCCAAGTTCGGGTTTAATATCTCTGGATAAAATTTGCCCTAATTTTCATCAGCAATGGTTTTCCAATAACTGATTTGTAAAATCTCTCCTATAAGCTCTAGCATTCTTTGCTATTAATTATTTATAATGTTTTTTGCGGTTACTTGTTGCATTCACTTTTCTGCTAGGTTAATTTTACCCTTCCATCTCCAGAAAATCATTGTTTAGGTAAGCTTCCATCCTCATGATTATTCAAGCAGATGTTCCATATAGACTTATCTTTCAAATATTCTTTGGGCATCTTTACCTGACTAAATCTACCAACATCAAGCATTTGATTGTTGTTTTTCTAAACATAATATGTTTATAATTTTGTTTTCAGATGAGGCTGGTGTTCAAGCCTGCATTACCTTCTGAAATAAAACACAAAAGCTGCATAAACATTTCTGCTGATCAGATTTACATCTCGATTTATATTTCTTTTCTAACTATCTAGCAAATATCATGTTCAGGTCTTGGTTTGCAGTAACTGTTAGCACCCAGAAAGGTAAAATTGAATAAAAACCCTAATTATTGTTCACATAGCTTTTGCAATAGCTGCATCACAAACCCCAGATTCATGCCTGACAGCCAGCACCTAAAGCTAGGAGGAACACTTGAGGAATTAACAGCCTATCAGCCACTTCTACGCAGTTTATAATAAACATGAAAATTCATGATATGTTGTTTAGTTTTGATTTACTTCATGGCATCGTTCCTACACTTGATAAGCGTCTCCAGCACCCAGTTTCCATTGCTCTCCACTCCCAGGCTCATCCTCTCCTTCACTTCCAGATATTGGCTACTACTTCCAAGCTCAAGAAGAAAACTCACTTGCTGATACATCCCTGTGAAGCAAAGGCTGGAAATATATATATATTTTAAATTTATTGTGAAGTCCAACAGAAGTTGTAAGGACTCTAGCTTGTTCATTTTACTCACTGAAAAAGACTAACAAACTGCCTTGTCCCCAACATACAGCAGCAGCTCTGGTGAACCGAGATGACCGTTAGCTGGCCAAGTCGTTTCAGGGCACAAGAGCCAAACACCTTCAAGTTCTGCAGCTACTTCTGCAGCTTCTATTAAAGCAAAAGCTGATTTATGCAAATACATTTCTTAGCTCGGCTTCACACTAAGAGGATATCCAGTGTTCAAAAAGTATCTGAATCTGCTGCTACTGTCCACCAAGACAGAAGAAGGGCATTGGCTATAGCAAATAAACAGATTATTTCATATAACAAATCACTGTCCTCAAAGTAAAGACACTAAAGTGTAGCGTACTCCATAAATTCTTAATTCACCCAAACCTCTGGGTTCAGAAATAGCCACATACATAATTTCCAGGCACTGGAAAATAAAAAGTAATGCAAGAATTAAGGCAAAATAATCCAAAATATCTCTTCTCATGCACAGCTAGGATTATCTGTATTGAAAACTCAATTTGTCAGAAAGAATTACCATATGGTTTCCTTGTCAGCAAGCTGCAGATTTATGTTTTCCTGATAAGAAAACAGAAATGAGAGAGCAACCTAGGAACGTTTGCCCATTAAACATTTCCTGTGCTCCTTCCATAGCGAAACATAGAGACTAAAAATCAAATACATTGCATAAGTATATACCAAAATGACCTAAAATACAGCAATAATTACCTGAAAGCATGTTATCAAGATTACCACTCACTGTGCAGAAAGGGAGCAATCCATGACTTTGCCTTATTATTCCCATACACATGTAACTCAATCCTTTGCATTGCTTATTGTTGACTATTTAATGCAACTAAAACACGCTGGAATAACCAGATGCCAGAAAGAGACAGAACATTAGGTTCTATAAACCCTGCAGACAATAAACATGCTGACATTATTTCTGCAAGTCTCTTTTCCTACAGAAGCATGCCTTAGAAATCGGTGTCCCTGAAGTCACAGGCATAATGTTGAACATCCACAGCAGCCTCACAGAAGAGCTCTTGGAAGAGCTCGTTATGTCAAAAAGCAAAAGAAAAGCAGCCAGAAGTGAAATATGCAATAAAACAGATGTAGTAAAGCATCTTCTGTGCGTGAAACCCCCTGGCCCTGGCATCGGTCCCCTCGCCACCATGCCTTTGCTCCCTCGCAGCGCTGGCTGTGAATCCTGCATGAAGAGCTGCAATGACAAATGGCTACCAGGAGCTTATTCTGCCACTAGAAAATTCAGACACTGGCGTGGCTTTTTAAGAAATTAGTGTTAAACATGACACCAACCCAGAAGTAAAAGAGAGAGGGGGAGATCAAGGCTCTTGAAGCTGCAGAGCTTGAACAAGGTCCCCAGCTGCGCCGCAGCCACCGGCAAGCGCGCCATGGAGACCTCCTACTGCTTGATGTCACCAGGTAATGACCTGCTTCAACCTTGCCTAACAAAATAACATGTCAGCAATGGCATGAGTTGACCTTTCCTACCTATTTCACTGGTTTCCGAGAGTCACTATAAAGCTGAAACACTGGAAAGTTCTTACAGACCCGTCTGCCTTCCAACACGCAGGTACAGCCCTGCAAAGTTATTCCCCTGGGGGAGGTTTTGGAGGTCCAGGTGTGGGCACAAACCACATGCACCAAAACACAGCCCTCTACACACACATCACCATAAGGACCACCTTTGGCAGGCAGGGCCAGGCTTGGCCACAGCTGCCCAGGCGACCTTCATGTTCTGAAGTCTGATGGAGACCTGCAAGAACTGCCACCGCAGCCATGCAGGCGGCTGCTCCCCTGGGTCACTCCCATGGAGGAACCATCTGGACAACTGCAGACAGCGAAACTTGAAGGTGCTTCTACAGAAGACATCTATCAGAGCACATAGTCTGAAAAAAGAAATGCAGTCTGAAAAAAGAAAGACACGTGGGTCTTGCATCTGTCTGATTTCAGCATTTCCAAATGAAAATACTCCCTACAAAACGTTCTGGGTTTCTATTGAAAAATTAAAAAGAGGGAACCCAATTTCTGAGTCACCATTTCACAGGCCACCATTAACCACTCGTGGAAATGCTTTTTCAAAAAAGCTTATTCTCCCATTGATAAGGCATTCCTATGCCATTAAGAGAGCAGGAGGGAAGGAGAGAACAAAGGTTATTTGAAGCGAGTTTCTTTCTGTGTTTACACATCCATACTCAAATGAGCTCTCTGCTCACACCTCTCTTACAGCAGATACCTTAGGCTCGCTCCTACCGACTTCCCTCATTTTTTTTCTGTGGTCTATTTTGTAGGTAAAACTGATTTTTCAACACCCTGCGATGTAATTAACAACACGCAATAGTTCTGCAAGCATGAAGGGGTGCTGGGACTCCCACGCCAGGCCGAGTCTCATCAGTTGTGTTTTGGGCATCATCGCTTTCCTTCTCACCACGCTCAGGGTCACTGGCGAGGCCCCAGGACAAGCGAGCACATCTCGGCATCCCGCGTACTTCCTCATGTGTGGCTAGTTTCCATCAGGAACACTTCTGTGATTTCAGTTCAGCTGTGGCAGAGTTTGGGCAGCAGCCGCTATTGGACAGAGCAAGATCCTTCCTGGCTTGGAGCAGGGAAGAATGCACATACAGAAGATGAGAGAAGTAAATGCATCCAGAGAAAAAGAAACAGCACAGTGTCAAACGCCAAGCAGCTCTGGAACATGAGAGGAGCAGGAGCACTCGCCAACATGACCTTTTCAGATAAGTGAGCAAAAGCCCAGACCCAACTGCTGTTGGATGCTGGGGACACTTTAGTGGGAATCTGATCCTCCTGAGCCTCATCATCTGACTGGACAAAACTGGTGTGAACCCGACGAGAAGAGAAGCCGTGGGCAAGGCATTAAATCACCTCGCCAACACAGCTGAGGTGGAGCAGGCACTGGTGCTGTTCCCTGTGCAATCCAGAGATGGTGGATGGCTGCACCCACTTCATGCACCGGGGCTGCCGGCTCCTGGCTCCACTCACTCTGTGGAGCTGCCATCCCTATGCCCAGATGGGAAAATACACAGTAATGTATAGACCACTGAGCAGTCCTTGACAACTCAGGGTGCCTCTTGGTGGGTGAACGATGACAAAGCCTAGTTCAAGATCTTTTCCTGCCTGCTAAGGTGGCAAAAATTACCAGATAGCAGCAAATTCTTGGCTTCCATCTCCAAAAGAAACCCTTGCGCTATGCTGCTGCAAAATCTTACATCCAAATCTGAAGCAGACAAATTCAGTTCATCTCTCTTTACGATACTGAGCCTTTTTCTTTTCTCTCTCCCAGTACTTTCATCTGGCTCTTGAGCTGAGCAGCATAGTGAACAAGACGTAGCAAGATTTAGGAGTCAGCACTAAACACTTCCCGGCTCTACTCTGAAATAGTAGAGGGCTGCAAGCAATTTTAATCCACGTAAAATTCAAGCTACATATCACCGAAGTGCTAGATTAGGGTTCGATGACACATGCAATCCACTGCTACTTCAAACATAAAAAATGTGTAGGATTGGTGTAAAATGATTCTTATTCGTGTCTTTTATGTTACTCTTAAAAGAGAGGATTTGTTCCAGTCATCGTACTGCCGTCTCTATGATTGATTTTCTTTTTGCCAATTTACATCAAAGTCAGGTTATTCTCATCCGTAGATTTTACTCTTGCATCTAGCAACAAGGGCAATACTGAGTATTTCTCTTCTTATGGGAACAATTAAATGAGAAATAAGAACTAAATGAAAAATGAGGTATTTGATGAAGGCCCCAGTAAAGCAAGAACAGATGGGTTTCCTGTGCTTTACTAGTCTGTTTACCAACAGAATTGAAAAAATAGATTATGACACTTCTGAAAAGTTAATAATAGTGCAACTTTTGAGAACAAGAAGGATCTGTTAAACCTAAAGCAAATTAGAAGTGTTCATCTACTTAGCTCTTCACTGTTACTTCCATATTGAAAAAAAAAAAAAAAAAGGAATTTTGTATCTATATTTATATCTGTCTATATCTTCACTATGGAGCGCACCAGAATTACGCCTTAATTCAAACTGTTCCAAATTAAAAATTACCCATGGAAGTGATGCCAACAGTTGCTTTTGTAATCAATTGTTTAGTGAATGGAGCTAATAGTGCTGATGGTCTCCCCTCTTTGTCATTCTAAAGCAGATAATAAATAAATAATGTATTTGTAGAATGCAGTTTGTGGCCTAGTTTTTAAAACAAAGATCCTAAAGAGAATAAAATTAAGAGGAATAACTTGAAATGAGCTTTTCACTGCACTTCAGCTGAGACCCTCAATGCATCAAATGTCGTGGAGCAGACAGACTGACGGGCAGGTGATCTCACCGGGACACAACCAAAATCCACCGCTCCGGAGAGCTGAGTCCCAGCACGCCATCCCCACGAGGCAGCGGGGGATCCAGCCCTTGCTCTGCTTGCCTCCAAAGTCTGTCAGCACTGCTTCTTGCATAATAAGCATCGGTATTTACAAGAAGGAGAACAGAAGTAACTGGTTACGCAATACCACAGTCTTCTACAGATGGTCCTCAGCCTCCCCCATGCATCTATGCATCCGCAATCTCCGGAGAGGTTCAAATGCAAAGCAAGACTTGAGTGTTTCCCCAGGATCTGTCACCCCATCTTCAGGAGAAGCCAAGCAGAATCAGGGACATGAGAAACATAAAGCAAGACAAATTAAACCATCAGCTCAACTCTGAATTTGAAACTTGCAGGTCAGGAATCTGTTTCTGTATCATTTTCCTCCTCTCCAGGGAATAACGAAGAGTAAGAGCATTCCCACACCTTCCCTCTGTCACCAGGTCCCTCTCTGTCCTCAGCCAGGTTTTCAGAGGCACATCCTTGCTGGTGGAGGTGTCCTTCATGAAACATCAGGTCAGTGAAGTCTGCAGGTTTATATTTTCAACTTCCATCATTATTTTTCCCCAGTGCTCATGAATAACCTCTCATTCGTTAAACCTGTGCAGCCAACTGTAACATTTCTGCAGGCGGTGCAAAGCGATACGTGAGCTCCATTAACCAGACCCTGTATATTTTCCAATGGAAACTATGATGACAAGGAATGTTAAAATTTCCCCTTGTCCATAGTCGAGATAAGAGATTATTATCTTGGACCAATGCTCAAAGCATTTTTCATCATCACAATAACTACAAGAAAACGATCACCACAAATGAAATAAACAAATATGCTACAGAAGGCCAATGATTTTGGGAAATCCAGATTTCAGCACCCAACTCAATATTTAGCACCTTGCTAACATGGATCAGGTATCAAGAGGAAAGCAGACAAGTTTTACTAGCAACCTGCCTTTGGCAAGCCCTTCTCCATGCTCTTACAGGAGCCTGACGCGAGAGAGAACCAACAACCGCTTACGAGAGCAAAATTATGTCAGCACTTTCCCTTCTCACAGAGATGATGATGGGCATTTCTGGGGTCTGGAGAAGGCTGCAGGTGCTTGCTTGTAGGAACCTGAATTGCAAAACCTGACCCTTTTGTCTGAAAGGGGATGCTCTGACAGAATCCACTCTCTTGCTTTTGCTCCCTTGAAAACGCAGAAAGAAGAAAAATGTCAAAACCACCGTGTCAGGCCAGTTCTGGTACAAATACCTTATCGGCACTCATCCTATCCTTGGGCCCAAGAAAAGGGCTTGCTGTTAGAAAAGCTTCAGCTCTGTGGCTTTTCACCTACAAAATGGTTTAGCACCTCTAAGGATCTCTGCAAAACTCTCCAGCTTTTTCTCTGTAGAGCAAGAATATTTTTTAACACCTAAGTGGATCATTTTTACATTTAACCTGAAAGCCAGCTAGTAACAAATCCAACATTTTCTAGTTTCTCTTGATAATTAGCAAAGTTTTGTCATCAAAATCAAACATTTTAATAGATGCTTAGTAAACTTAGCAAGATTCCGATTTTACTGCTTCTTGCAGATGAGGAAACTAAATAGAGAGAAACCAGCAGCAATGTTGCCCATTAAGCTCCAGATCTACAGATTGAATATATAAATCACCAGTGCTTTGGGCTGCACAGACAAGCAAGAGGGCTGGGCAGAGCTAAGCTAAGAATCTCAGAAATTAAAGGGTTAAGGATAGAAAATTATTATCTGAACACACCCGACGGAAAAATTAATCTGAATATGATGTTCTGGCAACATCAGACATCTGCTTTTAACATGATTTTCAATAGTCTATTTAATTTGCAACAGACAAGGTAAAAATTCAGCACTTCATTGAAAAGCTAGCCACTGGAGAAGCCACAAGAAAACTAGATGCCTATTTTCACAGGGAAAGCACATGTCTGTTAGGAGCCGCAGGTGGAGGACGGATGAAAGATGCCCCAAACCAGCTAATTTGACAGGGCAGAGGCTGCTGCTCGTGCCCCACCAGAGCCCCCCACGCTGCCGCCCACTCAGCCACCCTTTGGGGAGCCCTCCCACAACACCCCCAGGGAAGGAGGGCAGCATCCCTACGCATCTATCGTGACACACTCCCACTCCTCACCACGAACCCGGGCACTAAGGAAAAACAGAGCTCAGCCCGGCGGTGTGTTTGGCCCCTTTACAGCCAGCAATGGCTCCATGTTATCTGCCTGCACCAACTGCTTGGTCTGGTTTGCGCATGGCGGTGAGCAAACAGGCTCAGGGTAATGTACATTGCTGATAAGAGCAGATGTGCCTCGATGACACAGGCGGTGGCCTCTTGCTTCTGCATGACGTTGGCCAGACTGGGCACAACCTCCGTGGACGGCAGAAATCCCTGCCGGTGGGGGGTCATGAGGTGAGCGCTGCACCGACACTACCTTGACCGAGAAATGCTCGAGTGGGAAGGGTCCAGAGTTGGCCAAAACCAGCTTCAGGGATCAGAAAATTCACCCCCAATGTGGACAAGAAATGCTTGCTACTTGATGGTTACACACTCATTTTTGGCCAAAAAGCCTCAAAACACAGGAATTGCATTTGCACAAAGCACGTATTTGTAAAGAATATAGAAACTTTTCAACCTTTTCTCTTTGAAACTACTTTCTTGTTTTAAAACAGACTACTGAATACAGGTTTGTTAGTTTTCTAGGGGAACTTCCAACCATCCTGTTAAGCAAAACCAACCTGAATGCTAGAGACCTTGCCTGCATTTGCTCCCTCTAGTCCACCTGTTTTGGTTTCTGCAAGTCCTTTTTCCTTCCAACAACAAACTGAAGCTGTTCCTGTACTTGGTTTGCTGTATTAAGCTGCTCAATGTGCACCACAGAGCTGTGACCCGGCGTTCACAACTGTCATCAAGAATTTCTGTGAATAATTGATTTTTTTAGACACCAGTCTGAAAGAGTTAGCAATAGCATGCAATTTATTATGGTGATAGAAATCATTCACGGACTGAGAAACTAACAGCCAGATTTAAAAACCTTCTCTGCGGTTTTATCACTTTTTATTTTTCTTCTCTCCTTTTGGTGGTTTTTTTTTTGTTC